TGCTGTCCGGGTCTCCGGGCTGCAGAGCTGGCGGGCCTCGGGCCCACTCCTCCCGAGAACAGAAGCTGTTGTGTGCAGACATCAGCTCAGTGTTTGGCTTGAAAAGGCCTTTCCGTGCGGCGGAGCCAGAACGCCGTGGCTCCGGTTCAAAGACGCCCACGAGTTGCCGGGCTCCGTGCTGAGCAAGTCAAGAGGAGGTGAGAAAGTCAAACAGACCTTCAATGCAGCCTCCCATGAGCCCCAAAGTGGGGGCTCCAGGGAGACACTGTTTACAGATTTGGGGTTTTGCACGACACACTGAAAGCCGTGGCTCTCAGATTCCTGATCTGCTGTGGGTGATCCATCGGCAACCACTTTGCTCCCCGCCCCCCAGCAGAATGCACCCCTGGCCCCAGTCCAGCACGGCTCCTCTCCTTCCGATCCTGCCCATCCCGAAGCACGCCTGCTCCCTTTCCTCTCCTGGGCTCTGCAATCCAGTTCCCCAACAGACAGTGTGGCTCACTCCTACCTGCCTCCGCTCCCAGCCCCCTCACCCCATCAGTCTGTCCACAGGGGGTCAGGTGACGCCCTCGTGTGCGAAGGTGCCCACAGTATCGAGGAAACCCACCAACCATCCCCGGGACTCCCCCGCACAGGCCTGTCCTCTGCTTTGCCTCAGGGAAGTCTTGTGCTTTGGAACCTGCCCCATCACCAACGCAAATTCTTTCCCCTTTTGCCAGAGAGGGCCAAGCAAGGCTGGCGGGCCCTGCCTTTCTGCACAGGCAGGAGAGGCACGGAGCTGGCCCTCTGCCCTGAGGGTCGGGGCTCTGCTGGCCCAAGAGGTCAGGAGCAGACTGGCCTGGGGCTAATACAGACCAAGCTCAGCTACAGTTAATCAAGTTTCAACGGAGCAGAAACTTTAGGTTCTCCAGCCTCCTCTCACCTGGAGAACTCGCCAACACCCCCAGGGGCCGGATCGCCCGCAGGCCTGCTCCCTGTCTGCCCTTTCCATGGGGGCACTCATACGCTGGGTTGCCAGACCCAGGTTAGGAGCCGAATAAGGCCCCTGACTCCATACACCCGCCTTTCTTTGAACCCTAAACAGTACTTCCCAGACGACCTCTTCCCTCCCCACCACCTCATGCACCGGCCGCATTCTGGCTGCTGATCAAGTTGTTTCAGCCTTGGAAACGGTACTGTCACCGCAGAAATGAGAGAAACTGTGCCTCTGGGTCTGAAGGCAGCTCCGCCGAGTCCAGAGAGGCTGCAGCAATGGCAGCACCACCAGGAGCGGCGCGCCTGGAGGGACGTGGGCCGGGAGCTGGGTACACACTGACACCGCGC